GTCCCTCCCCATTTTTGCAAAATACAAACAAAATCTCAGCACAGATGTAGAGGAATGTTAACCTTATTTTGAAATAAGTTTAATCCTGCAGAGCCACTTATACCTTCAGAGTATCTGTGGTTCTGAAAGCATTTGATGTCGTGATAACCAAATGGAAGAAGCAGAATTAAAAGCCTGCCAGCAGATCCTTCCCCAGGGACCCCCACCTCCTTCCCCATCCTGATGCCCGATTCCCTCTTTCATCCTTATGGGGGTCCTATGAGTGGACCAGGTGCCCCCAGGGCTGGGGAACCCCACGCACTAGCTGCTGGGCCCTGGGCTCCTATGAGGTGTGTGTCAAATGAATTCTCAGCCCTTGGAAGGAAGGAGTGTCCAATCGCTCTTTACCATTGGTGAGGCTCCACTGACGTCTGGTGCCCAGATTTCCACCCCAAATCAGAATAAAATCAGAATGTCGTTTGACTTGGGGTCCAATGTGGGGAGCTGCTGTCTTAGAAAAGCTGGTGGTAAATGCCCAGCAGGAGAGTTGGGTCTCTGAAAGCCTGTGGAGGGATTCTCCTGCTGATGTAATGGTCTCCATTCTCAAACACTGTGGTCTCAGGCCCTTTCTTTCTCCATCTCTTACTTTTAAAGAGAATTTCTAATTTCCTGGTGGATGTGAGATTCAGTCTCCCTGTGGCCTTGAGCACCAAGCAGACGCCAGATCCGGGACTGGTAGGACTCCCTGCAGGTCCCTGGAGAGGACCCCAGGCATGCGAGTCTTCAGGAGATTAGATTAAAATATTTACTCTATAAAATATGCAAATGATGGGACTTGAAAGCCAGTGCTGAATGGAAAGCTGGGGCCTGAGAGATTTCTGAGCAGAGGCCCCAGGGAGGCAGGGCAGCTGCTGCACCGTGTGGGTCAGGCTGCTTCTTGCTTCTCATTGGCGTGTTGTTGGCACCCACTGCAGCTCCCATGTAGACACAAGGTTCTCCGGGCAGACGCAAGGTTCTCCATGTAGACGTAAGGTTCTCCGTGTAGAGGCAAGGTTCTCCGTGTAGACGCAAGGTTCTCCGTGTAGACGCAGGGTTCTCTGTGTAGAGGCAAGGTTCTCCGTGTAGACGCAAGGTTCTCCGTGTAGACGCAGGGTTCTCTGTGTAGATGCAGGGTTCTCTGTGTAGATGCAAGGTTCTCCGAGTAGAGGCAAGGTTCTCTATGTAGACACAAGGTTCTCCGTGTAGAGGCAAGGTTCTCCGTGTAGACGCAAGGTTCTCCGTGTAGTTGCAAGGTTCTCCATGTCCTGTGATTTGGTGAGCGAGCCTCCCCTGGGACTCTGTATGCTTGGCTGCTGCCTGTGTCAGGAACAGGTCACCTGCTCTTTCTCTGCTCCCTATTCAGCCTCTGGATAACAGAGGTGAGTCCAGGCTGGGCCGCTTCCTGGGGGGCCCCTTCCTGGAGGATCTGCAGGCCATGCACTCTGTCCTGGTCTCTGAATCACATCATCTACCACCAGACACTGAATGAGGAGATACTGAAAGTGTCCAGAACATGGCCTGGCATGTGGTGGCATTGCCAACCCCAGGAGCACTCAGTCACTTCATTAGTGAGGAAGGGACAGGGGTACCCTCGCTTCCCAGAGGAAAACCCTAAAAGGATGACAAAATCCAGGATGTGGGCAAAAATGAAGGGCCATAAATTCATAACAGAGGAAAGAGGGCACAGAAAGCAAATATTAGAGAACATTCATAATCTTTCCATGGTTACTCTAATGGTTTAAAGCAAGTACAGATATTTATGCAGCTGGATGAAAATAAAGGTCCAGCCACAGTCATTAAAAATTTCATTGTTGAACTCGCCACAAAGTGGCCTGCAGCTTCTCACTGCAGAACCAGCAAGGCAGGGCCGTTTGCCCTCTGCCACCTCCTTCCCTGCACAGATGCAGAGGCAGACGTGCAGAACCAGGAGTGCATGGGACACGCTGGTGGGGACGTGGGTTGTGGCGGCTGCAGCCCAGGGCTCGAGTTCTGGGAAACTTTTGAAAACCTCCGCACTCCAGAGGCTGCTTCTGTCATGGCTGTGATAATGCTGCTCTGTAAGAATTTAGACTAATAGCCTAATGTCCTGACCAACACACATCACATGACCACAGGTTGATCTGCATTTCCTTTGGGTACCAGCCCGTCCTCTGCTCACAAGGATGTTGAGAACAGCATCCGCCTCCGTTTCCTTTATGCCTCTGGGTCCCTCTGCAGGAAGGTGGTCAGAAACAAACCCTGTCCCAGGGCAGATGGAGCAGAGGTACGGAGGGCTCGGGGTGGTGAACACGGCAAAGGTGAGATGCATCTGGGGTTGGCATGCGGGAACGTGACAGCAGTAGAGCTCTTCAGGTGGGAGCAGCGGGACAGCAGAGTGACAAGAGCATCCACGTCCAGATAAAGAATACGGACGCTACATTTTCTTTTTCTTACTGGAAATTCTCTAGGGCTGGAGGGAGGGTGACGATGCCAGGGCAGGAGAGCTGACAGGCGATGCGGGTTAGGATGGCTCGGGGGCTGCGGCGTGGAGGGGATGTGGACTGGACACAGCGCAGGGACTTGTTGGATCTGTGGGGTGTGGGAGAGGGGGGACGATGATGACTCAGAGGGGGGACTTGAGCCTGGGGGCTGGGAGGACGAGGGACACTAACAGCCATGGACAAGCTGAGGGAGGAGCACGTTGGCAGCTGACACAGACTGTCTGGATATAAGACCCTGCGGTTTGCGGGGCAGATTTAGGGGATGTCCGCAGCCGGCAGGGGAGGCTGGAGAAGCCCCAAGGAGAGTGGGGGCAGAGCAGGGAACCCAGTGGGGGACCCCGTGCCTGCCTCTGTGTCCTAGATGCGGAGCCGCGGAGTGTGCTGTGTGCCATCTGGCTGCATGAAGGGCGGCTTAGTCTGGCTCCAACCACTGGAGTTGATGCAGACCCTACAGGTCAGAGGGCACCGTCCCCAACAAGGCCACCTCACCTCCGACACCAGCCGCTCTTCAAGGGTACCGAGCCAGCCCCACTTGTGACTGCCTCACTGCAGCCTTGAGGGTTTGCAGGACTCCATCCCCTTACAGAATTCACTAGAAGCTCAGAGAACTCAGGGAAGCAATGGACCTACAGCCAGTGTTATTGTAAAGGATGCAAGTCGGGAGGGCCAGCCAAACACAGAGGCGCTTAAGACTCACCCTCTCCCCTCAGAGGAGTTTCAACCCTCTAGACCACGTGCTTTTTTTTTTTTTTTAATATCTTTTGAATCTATCTCCCTGGACTGTCTTCTTCCTCCAGAACATTACAGACCAAGCCTGTCATCTGTGCTCATGACAATCCTGTAGGTACCTGAAGGCATTTTCTGTCTCCCTCTTGCCCCAGGGGTATTTTCAGATTAGGCAAGTCCAATATTCTCTCGTGTTCACAAAATAATATAATTTCCAAACTGTCCCTCAGCTAGCTGCATTTTTCTGGATGTTTTCTCACCTACAGCACGCTCATTCATCCACGTATCCCCGAGCAGTGCACAGCACTGCAAACTCGCCCCCTCAGGCTCTGGCGTGCTGTGGGGCCCTTGCTGGGTTTTGGCAGCATCTGCACATTATAAACATGGTCCTCAGTCCCTTAGCTATGGGGCTGCCTCCTGACAGGGCTGGTGGGTGCTGGGCCGCTTGTCCCATGACTGGAAGCTGGAAGGAATGGGAGCTGGTAGATACCTAAGGAGGGAGTGGAGGCTCGTTCAGGGAAAGAAAGACATAAAGGTGGTGTCAGTGGTCCAGACGGGCAATTTAGCTCTTGGCAAATGTGTACTTCAAGTGTCGGAGGTGGGAAACCCACTGTGGGCATTCGGCACACACCCTGGGAGCCTGCAGCAGAGCACTCAGATGGTATGAGTTCAGAGTCCAGAAATCGTTCTGGAAACTGTGCAGGGGGCTTTTTGCTGCACCATAGCTCCCACTGTTCTTTTTTCTGTCAAAGAACTTGCTGTAGTCCGTGGCTAAGCCCAGGATGGAGGAGTAAAGGGCTGGTGTGGCTGGAGCGGGAAGGAGGATGGGTGGAGGGGGGTCAGGATGCCCAGTGGCAGAACTGGTGGGACCCTGAATTCTGAAGTCCGTTCCGGCACCAGGCCTTTCATTTATTTATCTTCATTTCTACCCCGTGTGTTTCTGTAAAGAATTGATGTGCCCTCGTAAGAGAGTGCAGAATGCGACAGGCCAAATTAGAGCAAACAGGAGGAGGAGAAGCGTAGGGGAGGCACGTGAGGTGGGGCAGGGATGCTGGGATGCCTTCCATGCACCTGAAACGGCCAATCAGAGCAGGAAACGTGATTGGTCTTATCGTTGACAATAAGACGAAATGCCTGAAGCCCTGGAGTTCTCAATACAGCATGGCTGGAGTTTGTGGGCGCTGAGAGCACGTGTGGGTGTCATGAGCGGCCTTCACGATGAAACCGTTTTAATTGGTAAGTTCATGGCAATTTCTCCATATTGCCTGATATTGTTACGCTAATGCAGAAGCCCCAAAAGGCAAAACAAAACAACTCCTAAAACAAAACCAGACCCATGAAGTGCTTCAGTTTTCTGTCTACACCTGGCTTGTTCTAGAGGTGAATTTTTGAGTATTGCCCTGGTTTCCATCAAATAATCCTATTGGCGTTTGTTGTTTGGCCTTCCTGAGTCTGTTTCCACACAGTACATTATGGGTGATGCATCACTTAAGCCACAGGGACTGGACGGTACAGCGTGGTGACATGTTAGCACAGTGCCTGTGACGTAGCGCAGGCGTGTTCAGTACATGTGGGTGATTTCTGGGAGCAGCGACTACAGAGGTCCCAGCACAAAGTGGCTGAGCTGCTGGATGGGACCTGCCATTTGGGGGTGTGGAGGCACCGGGCCAGGTGGGCAGGTGACACTGGGCACAGTGTCCCGGGTGCCTGGGAGGGGGGCTGTCCCCGGACAACAGGCAGTGGCTTGCAGGCTCACTTTCAACTTGTCTTTCATAGGAATCACACTCTACAGCCACCCATATGGAGGAGCCTTGCTGAACGAGGACAAGTTGTGAGTTAAAGGAACACTTGGGGGGGCAGCAAATGTTGATCAACATCTCTGGGTTGTTAGGGGTAATTCTCATCCCTTTTCTGCTTCTGCACTGAGTGAGCTTAGCAGGTGCACCTAGTGGAACAAGGCTTGGGCATTTCTGTGCAAAGTGTGAGGACAGCGATGGTTAAAGGAGAAAGTGCATTGACTGAGTCTAAAATGGATGAGCAGGGCTTCCCTCATGGCACAGTGGTTAGGAGTCTGCCTGCCAGTGCAGGGGACATGGGTTCAAGCCCTGGTCTGGGAAGATCCCACATGCTGCGGAGCAGCTAATCCCATGCCCCACAACTACTGAGCCTGTGCTCTAGAGCCTGTGAGTCACAACTACTGAGCCCATGTGCCACAACTACTGAAGCCCACCCACCTACAGCCTGGGCTCTGCAACAAGAGAAACCACCTCAGTGAGAAGCCCACGCACTGCAACAAAGAGTAGCCCCCACTCACCACAACTAAAGAAAGCCTGCACACAGCAACAAAGACCCAACGCAGCCAAAACATAAAAACAAAAACAAAAACAAAACAAAACAAAAATGGATAAGCATGTCATGCAGCTTATTTCTAAGTAGCAATTGTTCTAAGGGGCTGATTTGCCAAAGCTCATAGGACCCAACATCTTTTTCAAGTTAAAGTTTTAAACGTGGCATTTACAGAGATAAGCACAGTGATGCCTCCTGACAGTTTCTCCTGTAAGTCTGTCCTCACCGTCCAGACGGAGATGGTGCTGATGAGGCTAGTGTCCTTTATGTGCAGACCTAAGTGTCTCCTCCTTTTCCCCATCTCCCTTCCCTGCCATACGGCGGACAAACTTTTAGCTAAAAATTGATAAGTAGAAGTATTTTTTATGTACTTTCTGTGACCTACCTGAAAGAGTGGGAGAACACAGATCTGGTTGATGGGTGATCTCCACTCTCGTCCCGAACGCAGCAGGTGGTCCTCATATTCGTATACAGACTCTCAGGGTCCTTCCTTTAGCCGACACCTGCCGGGATTCTAAGTGTGGGCGCATCAACTTTGGTTATGAAGTAAGACATGATGGAGGGTTTGAGATGAGCAGTTGCATCTGTGCATTACCAAAGGCAGCTGTGCCCTGACCGTCCATTGACCCTGGTTATGAAGTAAGATGTGATGGAGGTTTTGAGCTGAGCCATTGCATCCATGCATTACCAAAGGCAGCTGTGCCCTGACCGTCCCCAAAGGGGAGGCAGTGATGGACCAAAGGTGTTGGTGGTGCTCCAGTTTAAAGTGACACAGAAAGTACAGTGCATGTCATCGCCAAGCACCTCCATCTACTAGAGAATATTCTGGTGTTTTGAAAGACTAGATTCAGAGGTGGGGCCGCTATGTGTGGAGCAAAACACCACCCCCGGCCGCAAGAGCTGTTGTCCAGCAAGGTGGCCCTAAAAGGGCAGAGGCCATGCTCAGCGTGGAGGCCACTAGGCAGGAGCCTTTCATTTTGCCTAGGAGGTGGGTTCAGTGTCAAGACTGGGCTCCAGGTGGGCAGACGGGGACCTGCGTCTCACCTTCGCTCTCCTCTGTGTGTCCTCTAGGCCCCTGGGAGTGTAACCCAGGCCTCGAAAAGTCATTGAGGGGATTTAATGAGAGAATCCACACCCTTAGCCAATACACTGGCTGGTCCTAAGTACTTATTTTTTTCTGAGGAAATATATTTATTATTACAATGTTGACAGAGCTTGCTAGGCATTTGAAAAATAAATGAGTAAATCTGCATTTTTACCTCAAATAAATTTTTTTTTCTTTTGTGGTATGTGGGCCTCTCACTGTTGTGGCCTCTCCCACTGCGGAACACAGGCTCCGGATGCACAGGCTCAGTGGCCACGGCTCACGGCCCCAGCCACTCCGTGGCATGTGGGATATTCCCAGAGTGGGGCACGAACCCGTGTCCCCTGCATCAGCAGGCAGACTCTCAACCACTGCGCCACCAGGGAAGCCCTCAAATAAAATTTTTACCTAAAATAAAAACCACATGGGAGATATATACCATGTTCTTGGATTGGAAGAATCAACATTGTGAAAATGACTATACCACCCAAAGCAATCTACAGATTCAATGCAATCCCTATCAAACTACCACTGGCATTTTTCACAGAACTAGAACAAAAACTTTCACAATTTGTATGGAAACACAAAAGACCCCAAACAGCCAAAGCAATATTGAGAAAGAAAAACGGAGCTGGAGGAATCAGGCTCCCAGACTTCAGACTATACTACAAAGCTACAGTAATCAAGACAATATGGTACTGGCACAAAAACAGAAATATAGATCAATGGAACAGGATAGAAAGCCCAGAGATAAACCCACACACATATGGTCACCTTATTTTTGATAAAGGAGGCAAGAATCTACAATGGAAAAAAGGCAGCCTCTTCAGTAAGTGGTGCTGGAAAAACTGGACAGTTACATGTAAAAGAATGAAATTAGAACACTCCCTAACACCATACACAAAAATAAGCTCAAAATGGATTAAAGACCGAAATGTAAGGTCAGACACTATAAAACTCTTAGAGGAAAACATAGGAAAAACACTCTATGACATACATCACAGCAACATCCTTATTGACCCACCTCCAAGAAAAATGGAAATAAAAACAAAAATAAACAAATGGGACCTAATGAAACTTACAGGCTTTTGCACAGCAAAGGAAACCGTAAACAAGACAAAAAGACAACTCTCAGAATGGAAGAAAATATTTGCAAATGAAGCAACTGATGAAGGATTAATCTCCAAAATTTACAAGCAGCTCATGAAACTCAATATCAAAAAAACAAGCAACCCAATCCAAAAATGAGCAGAAGATCTAAACAGACATTTCTCCAAAGGAGATATACAGATTGCCAACAAACACATGAAAGAATGCTCAACATCACTAATTGTTAGCAAAATGCAAATCAAAACTACAATCAGGTATCACCTCACACCACTCAGAATGGTCATCATCAAAAAATCTACAAACAATAAATGATAGAGTGGGTTGGAGAAAGGGGAACCCTCTTGCACTATTGGTGGGAATGTAAATTTATACAGCCACTATGGAGAACAGTATGGAGGTTCCTCAAAAAACTAAAAATAGAACTACCATACGACCCAGCAATCCCACTACTGGGCATATATATACCCAGAGAAAATCATAATTCAAGAAGAGTCATGTACCAAAACGTTCATTGCAGCTCTATTTACAATAGCCAGGACATGGAAGCAACCTAAGTGTCCATTGACAGATGAATGGATAAAGAAGATGTGGCACATATATACAATGGAATATTATTCAGCCATAAAAAGAAAGGAAATTGAGTTATTTGTAGTGAGGTGGATGGACCTAGAGTCTGTCATACAGAGTGAAGTAAGTCAGAAAGAGAAAAACAAATACCGCATGCTAACACATATATATGGAATCTAAAAACAAGAACAACAAAAAAAATGGTTCTGAAGAACCTAAGGGCAGGACAGGAATAAAGACGGAGACGTAGAGAATGGACTTGAGGACACGGCGGGGGTGAAGGGTAAGCTGGAATGAAGTGAGAGAGTAACATTGACATATACTTACTACCAAACATAAAATAGATAGCTAGTGGGAAGCAGCCACATAGCACAGGGAGATCAGGTTGGTGGTTTGTGACCACCTAGAGGGGTGGGATAGGGAGGGTGGGAGGGAGATGCAAGAGGGAGGGGATATGAGGATATATGTATATGTGTAGCTGATTCACTTTGTTATAAAGCAGAAACTAACACACCATTGTAAAGCAATTATACTCCAATAAAGATGTTAAAAAAATCAACATGGAACAAACAGTTAAAGGTAAAGCATTAAGAGAATGGAAGAAAAGGTCTGAATATTTTTGTAATTTTGGCTAACTGAAAGTTTTCTGTGCAAAGCCTATAAAGTGAAAGTAAAGAATGTGTTATATAATTTAAATAAATATAAATCTATAAATGGAAGTTAATTCTGTGTTGAAAAATAAACTTTAAGAAGTGAAGGGAGAAACAGAAAAAATATTTACTACACATCTAACAGCAGCTAATTTTCTTGATATTGTGAAACCTTCTTATAAGTCAGTAGAGAAAGGGTGCCTGATCTATTTTGTTCAAGTTTTTCAAAGTGAATGAAAGATTATTTTTTTAGACTTTATTGAAGTATAGTTGATTTACAATGTTGTTTAATTTCTGCTGTACAGCAAAGTGACTAAGTTATACATATACATATTCTTTTTCATATTCTTTTCCATTAGGGTTTATCACAGGATATTGAATGTAGTTCCCTGTGCTCTACAGTAGGACCCTGTTGTTTATCCATCCTGTATATAATAGTTTGCATCTAATTAATGGTTCCAGCCGCTGTGACCCTCATCACTGATGGGTCCCTGCCAGCCTCTGATGGCTGTTCTGCTCTGCCTGCAACCTGGAGAGCTTCCGCCAGTGCGGCATCACCCTGTGCATCGTGCTTGGATTCTCCATCCTGTTCGCGTCCATCAGCAGCTCCGTGTGCGGGACAGGGTGACTGGGGCCACAAGGCTGCAGCACATGAGCGGCCTGGGCTACAGGACCTACTGGCTCACGATCTTCCTGTGTGACGTGGTAGGACTTGGGGCCATGTCCCTCTGTGTCCCTGCACCCGGGGGACGTGTGTGTGCACATACCTGCGTGTGTATGGATGTGTGGCCACCCCACATGATCCATAGAAGCAGGGCGGTTTCCTGGATGTGTGTCTGAGGTCTTGGGGACAAAGCTGTGAACAAAGCAGAGAGGGTCTCTGTCTTGAGGAACCTGTGTCCTTATGAGTGGAAGCAGAAAACAAATAACCAAGTAAAAATAAATAAATACACAAGATGCAATTGGCTTGTGACTAGGTTTATCAAGAGAATGAAAGAGGGTCATGGGATCGAGGGTGACTTCAGAGCAAAGCTGGGGAGGGGCCCTGCAGCCAGAGAAGGGGGGCTGGCGAGCAAGCCCCCAGGGGAGGCCGCGGGGAGGCGCTGGCTGCCGGGCGGGGGGTCTGCCCTTGGTTCTGAGTGTGGGAAGAAGCCATGTGTCCTGGGAGGGGGCTGGATTCCTGCCCCTTCCCTGTGGGAGGTGGGTGTGGGCGGCCGTGTTAGTGGCCCCCCAGCTCGCGGAGAGGCACAGACTACAGACATTTATCTAATCGCCTTCTGGAGACTGGAAGGCCGGCATCCAGGTGTGGCAGGGCTGGTGCCCCCTGAGGCCTCTGTCCTGGGCAAGTGGACAGCTGCCCTCTCTGTGTCCTCACCCTGTGTTCTCACCTCCTCTTTTCATGAGGACACCAGTCCTGTGGGATCCAATCCCATCTTAATGACCTCGTTTAACATGGATCTGGAAGGGGACTCTCCAGGTCCGAGTCCGCTGCTGCAGACCATGTGCTGGGCCACACAGGACACAGACCTAAGCTGGAGCTGACCTGAGAGCCGGAGGGTCAGGAGATGGTGGTATACAAGCCCCTGACGTAACAGGCCCTCTTCCCTTGATTTTCTCAGCTCTTTTACTTGGTTTCTGTCTGCCTGTGTGTCGCTGTGATCCTCACCTTCCAGTTAACGGCTTTCACTTTCCGGGAGAACCTGGCAACCATGGCCCTCCTGCTGGCACTTTTTGGGTATGTGATAAGAAGCGCAGCTGCAGAATTATGGTGTGTTTTCTGAAGGACAGAACCCCTGGGGCAGCTTTGAACCTGCTGTCAGCTTCATGGTTTTCTCTCTTTCCAAGCAATTATGCCGCTTCTTCTGGTGGCGTGGAGCCGACCAGCCTGAGCAGGACGCCCAGGGCCCCTGCTCGAGGGGTGGGTGATGGCAGCGGCTTTGGTTCCAGCTCAGTGTCCGTTACTCACTCAGCTCCAAAACTGTCCTCGGGGAGCCCGTGAAGCTCTATGTCTGCTGTAGTTTTCTCTCTCCTGACATTAGTAGTTTGGAAATGTTTTGTCTAACTTCTATCACTTTTTCTTTTCTCACAGGAAAAGTAGCAAAACCAGAAAAGTCATTTTACAAATTTCTCGTTTGAACATACTAATAAGGATCGTTGCTAGCAGTCCCTAGATTATACCTGCCGGGTATCAGGAATGCATAATATCATCCTCTCTTACAGGTCATGCATATTTGGCTATAGATCTAGGCTAAGTATGTGAGAGATACTTGCTAATAGTAGGGAAAATAATTAAAGTGCTGATTTATTTTAATTTAAGGCTAATATATATATTTTAAACAGAGCATTCTGCTTTTTTCTAAGCCAAAGATTACAAGTAAAATGATTTTTACATAGACGACAGTTGTATCAGTGATCCAGACTTATTCAAAACATCTAATTAGGGACAAATTATATCATTATAGGATAAATAGATACATGGATAGGTGGATGGATAGATGGGCGCAAAGAGAGAGACAGAGAAACCTTTTTAGGAATACTGACATTGCCACTAACTCTGTGACCTTGGAAGTGTTCATTTCTCTCTTTAAGCCTCACTTTCTTCCGTGTAGAATACAATTCTGTTGCTGTGAAGATGATATTAGGTCATTCACATAAACGTCCTCTACAGTGGCCGTCAAGGGTTCCCATTAAATTACTTTTAGTTGTTATTGTTACTATAAGAATTATTTAATATTTAGAGGATATTATGTCTTAAGCTCTAAAGCCTGCCTATAGTAGAGACATGTTTTCTATACTCAGCTGGAAATTTATGTTCCTGTATATAACGATCTACATACGTGGGCTCCTGGTTCTAAAGAAATGATTTGGTTTCAGTTTATTGATCTGGTTGAATGCATACTGTGGTCACGTTTCCTTATAGTGTGAGTAAAATATGTTTTGCTGTAAATTATTTTTGAACTTTAGAGAGCAGATTTCAAAAATTAAGGTGAAACTCAGACAAAGTCGCATGGTGAGACGCTCTTACAAAAAACGTGTTTTTAGGAATTTTCCTTAACCTTGTTTTGCTTGTTTGCTTTGCTTCCTTTAAGAATCTGAATTAAGCTAGAATTCTGTCCATATTCATGATCACAGCAGTTTTCAAACAAGTTCAGGGGACTCACAGGTCTCTCGAGTTACATTCATGGCCCAACATGGTGGCCATCTCAGGTGGAGGGGTCTTAGGTGAGAGGGGCCCAGAGGACCTGGAAAGGTGCCCCAGGCCGGTTCCAGTGGACGAGAGCAATGGGGGAGCTGACCGGACTCTCAGGGTGACCCTCCAGGGGCTAGTTCAGGTTTAAAGGGTGGTCCTTCCTCTACTGGAGGCCAGGCCTGCACACAACCTGACACGGTGACCCCCAGCAAGAGGAGGGGCCCTTGGGGCCCCAGTGGACGAGAGTGCCGGCTCACAATCCTGTCCCCACGAGGAGCCCAGAACCACCGCAGAAAGGCTGCATCCCAGAATAAGCTGAGACCAAGAACACATTCAGGCATTAAATGGGGCTGTTTGTCTGGAATCTGGAAAAATTGGTTAATGTGTAAATGAATAGACTCTCACAAGACATAATAGGACAAAGTGCCCAGTTACAATATTCTTTTATCTTTTCTTTTTTTTCTTTCTCTCTGTGGAGGAAAATTTGTTATTCACGCTGGAAAGGGAGGAAATTCACATCAAAAGAGAAAAAAATAACACCTGAAAATCTCAGACAGAAAAGAGAATCTGGTTTTTATAAAAAATGGAAACCTTAACCGCATACTTGGTGCACATTTAATACGAAAGGATTATGAAGATGATGTCACAGAATCCTGGTCCGTGTCTGGAAAATCCTGCAATGTAGAGATGGGACTGGTTTCAGAGGGAGGAAAACCCCATAAACGGCAGAGTAGTTATGAGCGGGCTGCCACCCTCCAGGTTTAATCGTTAAAATGATATCATAGTTTAGTAAAAGAACGGCGGTTGCTTGAAGCTACCTTATGTTTTACCAAAAAATAAATTATGCACTTTAAGCCAATTTAATTCTTTCCTTGAAAAGAAAAAATCAGGACGAATGGAGCCACCAATATGTTTATTTGAACCAAGCATTGATATTTAAGAGCAGTTGCATTAAAGCACTCACCTCTACCTTGTATGCTCGAGAACTGTTTTCTTCACGCCTGAATTATGAAGCAGATTGCTGTTGACAACTGTATGATTTCATGTATACTATTACATATATATATATATATATATATATATATATATATATATATATCCTATTTTCTGAAATACGAGGGTGTATCTTTTGACCCAGGGACGAATACCATAGATTTCATGTGGAAAAGGAACTGTACTCAAATCAAAAGCTATCTCGAGGGCCTAGCATCATTTTGAAGCCTCATGCTTTTCAGGGCTAGTTAACGTATTAAGGAAACCTCAGGCATTTAGAAGCTACCAAGGTATTTCAAGTGAAACCACTAAATCAGCCTGAGAAGATGGTGACAGGTTTGCACTGAGTGTGCAGAGAGCACATGGGAGCACACAAAAGTCGTGACCTAAAGTCAGTGACTTTAGCTGTTTCATACATTCTGTCAATAAAGCAGACCGTATTCATAAATGTGTACATATATCATCATGGTTCTTATAACAACCTAATATATTTTCAATTGATAAACTTTTGTTGACTGTTCCTTTCCATGAAAATGGGAAGAATGCTGCATGAAAGAATAAAAATAAAGACAGTGAAGTAAGTGACTCTTCTGCCAGTACTTGCAGCTTCCTTTCCTGGGGTGGGGCAGGATGGGGGTCACAGAGGAGCCTGAGGTGAGTTGGCCGCGAATGAGCCCTGGCTCTGTGCTCTGGAGAAGGAAGAAGGAAGAGGTGTTTTCATTAGAGGACCATTTTGGGTGTCTTCTTAGAGCGTGAGGTCATCTGAAACTTCCAGGGGCTGCTTCTCGGGTCCAGCCCTCATGCCCCGGCTTCAGACTCACACACAAATCACCCCCGCTTTCAGCTGCTGCTTCTCAGCCGTGGGTCCTCGGTCAGGTATCTTAGCCGCGTCCATCCTGTGTCCTATCTGTGAAATGGGGTCGTGCACCCGCCTTCAGGGCTGTAGCATCAGGGAACACCCTGGAGGCATACGGCCTGGAGTCCACGCACAGGGCACCCTGGAAAGGAAGCTTTCCAGTTCTATGGTACGTCCTGTTTTTATATAGAGATTCCCACCCTTGGTAGCTTTAGTGATTTAATCTTTTCTGAAAAACAGGTGTATCCCTGCTCTGCTGAGAAGGCTGTGAGCAGAAAGGGAGGCCAGGCCTGCCCTGTGCGGGAGGGGACACTGGGGCTTTCTCCAGGTCGCACGTCCGAGCCCGGGTTGGACCCTGCCCAGGGCTCTGCCTATATATTATGGAAAATGTGCTTTGTCTTTAGAAAATAACTGCCGGATTTATTAAGTAAAAATTGCTCCTGTTCACTGAGGGAGGAAAAATAACCAGGCAAGCAAAATCTCATCTTTAAATCAGTCTGTATAGAAGTAAGTGTTATAGGACAAGGAACACGACTTTTCACTTGACATTTCAGATGCGCGACTCTTCCGTGGATGTATCTCATCTCCATAATCTTCTTTTGGACGTGGCTTTCATCTCCTACATCTCCCTGAACTTCCTCCTCGGCCTCTGCACCGTGCTGATAACTGTCGTGCCCTGGCTGTTGGCCTTTGTCTCCAAGGCTCAGGTTAGTGACCTCCCACAGGCTCTGGGACTAACGCCTAGACTACTGTTGCTTTTCCAGCTGGAGCTCAGCGCAGATGTGCTGGTATCCACTGTCTTTAGCTCCAGAAAGAGACACTGACTCTGCTTCGCAGAAACCCCTGTGCCTTGATAAGCCCAGAGCCAGGTTGAAACCAGCGGGCACAAGATGAGCAGTTTCTGCACCCGCTTTGTGAGTGGAGGGTAGGCTGAGCCGCGCGTTCACAGCGCATCCCTGTTTGCAGGTGAATTGCCAATCGATGGTTGGAAGAGTGGCTGTGTGTGTGGAGCGTGTCCTGTGCTGGCGTCAGGAGCGCAGGGGTCAGACATTCCTCTCTGCGGGGTCAGCTGCTCTGGGGTGGGATTAGCCCCCGTGCAGACCACACTGTCAGGCAACAACAGGTCTGCATTGTCCGGGCTGTTCTGCCCTCTGAGCCCTGGGGCATGTTTAGACTTGCTGCTTTCAGGGTGTTGGAGCAGAGGTCTCCAAGAGACTGGACTCCTAGTGGAGGAACATTACTCCTGGTGAGGACGTACCTGTCTCAGGGAACCCCTCCAGCAGTCCGTTTACATCAGGAGGCCCCTTTTGGGTGTCATCCCAGCAGGCGTCGAGGTCCAGTGGAAACCAGCTCTGCTGACACTCCGCTCTTGTCCTTCCATGCTCCTCCCTGTGAGGCCTGCCGGGGTTGTGTCTGCTTTAACTTTAATCTTCCGTCTTGCTCAGCCTCCCCTGAGCTGCCTGTGGGAATGAATTTCATAGTCTGCACCCTCCTCTGCCCCGGATTTCCATACTTTTCTTTCCTGTTTTCTTTCTTGGCTCTGACAACACAGGTCTCTCCTGACCCCTGCTGTCCATGTGGATCCCATACCTCTCTACTCCTGGGGCTGGATCGACTCAGGGGCTGAGGAAACAGCCTGGGAAAGGCCCGGCCTCCCAGTTCTGGAGGATGGGCTGCTGGTCGGTGTCTGGCGAGTCCGGGACTGAGGCCTGTTCCATCGGGATGGGCTCCCTTCCTGGTGCCTGGACGCACCGGGACTTGGTCAGCTCTGCGGCGACAGCTCATCTTATTTGCTGTTGTTGTGCCTCACGTTTGTACAGAAGAAGTGAGCTCTGTAAACATTGATTATGCATCCAGTGAAACAATTTATTTTGGTGATTTTTATAGATCTATTATTGACACTAATCTGTATTAGTGTCTTTAGCCTTTAAATAGCAGCTAGCAAAATGAGTCACTGGCTTTAGCTTGAGGAGAACATTGAAATTGGAGGAGGCAGAACAGGGTTTCCCTCGTCCCCATCGGAGCTTAGATATGACGTGGATCCTGGTCATGAACTAAAGGGGGAGGAAGACAGACTCAAGGGAGACAATCCCCACCCCAGGGAACGGGTCACACACACAAGAGAAGGGTCAGGAATCTTGATATTCTAAGGCTAAGGTGAGTGGGAGGCTTTGTTCCCTCCTGTTATAAGTAGCATCACTCACTTGGAGAGAAATCAGCAAGCAGCAAGTTGTTTGCAAAAAAATGGGTCAAACTCAATTGTTAACAGATAATAAAAGGCATTTCATTGCTGTTACTAAGGTCTTTCTTTTCCTTTGCTCTTTATTTTGATATAGTTTGCTTAAAAAACTCAACGTGATAAATGGGTGATTTCAAATATTCCTTTGTAAGTTCAAGGGGCAATATATTCTTATGAAATCACGGAACAGGCCAAGAAAGGTGACTAGATTTTCAGATCAGTATCAAATGCCAGTGTAACTGGTATTAACCATTGTGTATACAAACGACAACATTAATATGAGCATTTTACTTTTCACCAAATCACAGTTTCTAAGCTGATGTGTACAGAAAAGGCATTTTGGGTTCTAATTCAGGATGTGGAGCATCTCTCTCTCCCACCGCTGAGGCTGTCTTTTGACGGCAGGGCGATGTAGGTAGATGAAAAACTCATAGTTTCAGTAATTTATTTCTCTACTTGATCTGTTGCCACATATTGTGGATTAGACACTCAAAAATTGCTGTTCCGTGAATTTGTGTAGCCACGCCCGTCACGCGTGTAGATTATTTGCTGAGTGTCATGCGTTAGAACAGCTTTGTTCACATGGGAATAGACACCAGTGTGAATCCCTTACAGTCAGATCTGAGTCCTCATTATTAATTATTTCCTGAACTGTAAGATCCTGACTTAAAAGCTGTAATAGTCTCTTATTTCCACCTTATAACTAGGAAGACAAAAATCTTTCATGTCGTACATTATTTGATCCAGGGACATAGTTTTATGAAAAGTGGGATTAATAAATTCCTTTAGGACTGGATGAAATCTGTAAATAGTGGTAGTCAGTGAAGACCAGAACTAAGGGAAAATTAAATGAACCTTTCATGGTTTTCCCATGTCTATATGCAGAAGACAGTAAACTATAATATAATAACAATACATACCCCTAAAAGTCTTCATTGAATTTTCTATTGTCCCCAGATCACACTAGTTGAGACTACTTATTGTGAACAGCTGTAAATTTGCGTGATAAGGGAGAACTGGACATTACTGAGTATGAGATATATAATTGATGGTTTTATAATCTTTCTCTACAAAGGGCTCTTAATTTGCTTTCTCTTTCTTTCATTGCACAGAATTTGCAGAACATCTGTGACATCCTCAAGTGGGTCTTCACTATTTTCCCTCAATTCTGCCTGGGTCAAGGGCTGATGGAACTCTTGTTACAATCAGATCAGATACAACCTGACCCACAACTTCGGCATCGATTCATACATGAGCCCCTTCGAGATGAGCTTCCTGGGCTGGATCTTTGTGCAGCTGGTGGTACAAGGGATGGTCCTTCTCCTCCTGAGGGTCCTGCTGCATGGGGACCTCTGGCAGTGGCCCAGGTATGTCTCTCAGGGTCCATCCTTGATGGCAACTCCAGCCTGGAGGCTGCAAGACAAGAAACGTTCTGATCAGTGTCATACACACTTCTGTTAGTTAGGATTTTATGGGGTTATTTGTTTGCTTTGTTTTTGTTTATTTGTTTTTTTATTAGTGAATGAACGACATTAGGAAGGAGAATGTCAAGAGCAAGGTGTCAACCTGTGAGATAATCGATCCAGTTTTTCAATTGCCTCAATGCATTTTCTCCTTTAGTATTGCTCAGTTTTCCTCTTATTTTGATTGTAGCATCTAAGGTGAATTTGTTTGATGCCATAATACAATTTACTTTTATGGTGAAATAGCATCAACTCCTAAAAGCAGG